GGGTTTAGAGGCTTTAGGGTTTAGGGCTTAAGGGTTTAAGGGGTTAAGGGTTTAGGGTTTAGGGTTTCGGGCTGATTGACGAGCTGGATTTCGGGCTTCAACCCTTCAACCCTAAATCCTTGAGGTAAAGTATAGGCGATCCCAGCATGAATCATCCTAAATCCATGTCCCAACTTTCTGAGATTCACCATAAGTTCCGCAAGGCAAATGGTGCATCCAGCCCGCTTGAAGGCTTAAGGCCCTGAGCACAAGACAGTACCTATAGTCTCCATTGTAGTTCATTTTTTTAGTTTAACCAATTCTATGTTAAGGATTTTATAAGGTAACCCCAAAAAGGAACTACAATGGAAACTCTAGGTAGTATAACTGTTAGGAAGACTTTTTGATGAATCCCTAAATGAGCCCCGGAATATTGCGAGATTCTGGACAGAACAAGGGCCACTCAAGAAAAAGCCCCGACCCTCTTTACCCGAAGCCCTAAACCCAGAACCTAAGATTAACTTAGGATTTCTAGGGTTAAGGGCTGAAGCCCGAAATCCAGCTCGTCAATCAGCCCTAAACCCTAAACCCTAAACCCTAAACCCTTAAACCCTTAAGCCCTAAACCCTAAACCCTAAACCCTAAACCCTAAACCCTTAAACCCATAAACCCTTAAGCCCTTAATTAACCCTAAACCCTAAACCCTAAACCCTAAACCCCAACGCACCCCAAAGAAGCCTTTTGGGACCACTGGGCCTCGGTCACATCACTCCGCAGAGACTCGAGCGCAATGCGCTCCGCCTCCAGCTCTCGCTGTGCAGTGGCGAACCTGGGACAGTCTAGAGTTGAGGGTTTGGAGTTTAGGGTTTAGGGTTTAGGGTTTAGGGTTTTGGGTTTAGGGTTTAGGGTCAGGGTTGACCTATAGTCTCCATTGTAGTTTCTTTTTTTGGCTTAACCATCTTTTTGTCAGGGATTGTATAAGGTAACCCCAAAAAGGAACTACAATGAAGACTCTAGGTGGTTTTGAGGGTTTATGGTTTAGGGTCAGGGCTTTGGGCTTAATAGTTAAGGTTTAGGGTTTAGGGTTTGGGGTTTAGGGTTTGGGGTTTAGGGCTTTTGCTTTCGAGCTAGATTGCAGCTAGATTGATTTTGAGGCTTAGGGCCTAGGGTTTAGGAGCTGAAGCTTTTGGGTTCCTTTTGAGGCCGGCTTGAATGTAGTTCCTAAAAGGTCCTAGGTGCTGTTATGGGGGATACTTCTCCAAATCATAATTTAGTCATAATGGTACTTCCTATGTATAGAAGCAATACATTCATGGTCTACATTCTACTATATAGGTACTGAGGACCCTTTGGAGTTGCGCGTGTTGTCTTGGAGACGTTGCGGTCTACGGTCTGGTCTCCTGGACAAGTCTGGAATCGCATAGGTTTCTTCAGACAGGGATTCTGAGGGTCCTCTTTTTAAGGACTTCTGAGCGTTTACATTGGGGGGTTCAGCAATTGACGCCATCGATATTGACCCAACAAACTGTCACTAGGATGAGTGAAAGCTGGTTGACAGGCGTGCTGGCAGCAGTGTCTGCTGCTTCTTCTCAAAATACTGCCACATGTTGTGTACTTCTCGCGCCGTTGCTTTTGCTGCTACTCCTACTCCGACTACTGCTACGACCACTACGACTATTGTGACTACGAAACGACGGCTGCTACTGCTCCCGGTGCTGCACCTGCTACTGCTACTGCTGCTGCTGCTGCTCCTACTACTACTCCTGCTCCTGCTCCTGCTCCTGCTCCTGCTCCTGCTCCTGCTCCTACTCCTACTCCTACTCCTACTCCTACTCGTAGTAGTAGTAGTAGTAGTAGTAGTAGTAGTACTCCTACTCGTAGTGGTGGTAGTAGTAGTAGTAGTAGTAGCAGTAGCAGCAGTATCAGTAGCAGTAGCAGTAGTAGTAGTAGTAGTAGTAGTAGTAGTAGCAATACTAGTACTACTACTACTACTACTACTACTACTACTACTACTACTACTACCACTACTACCACAGCTGCTGCTGGCTGCTCCTGCTACTGCTACTCCTGCTACTCCTCTGCTGCTGCTGCTGCAGCTGCGAACGAATACTACAGTTCCTACCGCTCTTGTTATTATTACCCATAGGCCCCTTAGTAGTTCCCTTTTGGGGTTCATATTTACAATCCTATAAGCTAATCCCAAAAAGG